AAGCCAAAAAAATAACACAGGATGCATATGACCACCTGGTACCGACTGCAAACATAACCCCCCGGATATATGGAACACCGAAAATACATAAAAAAGACCACCCACTCCGCCCCATAGTCGACAGCATAGGATCTGTCACATACAACCTCTCAAAAGCTCTAGTTGATATCATCAAACCACTCGGACTATCAGACCACCACTGAAAGAACTCCAAGCAACTGGCACAAGAACTCAAGAATATAACTGTGGCAGGGCGGTGGAATTTTACTCTTTTTTTGAAGCAGACAACGCCACCTGGGGAATTTCACCCCAGGAAATAGTTTGTTTGACTGGACACAGGTTCGAGACACACATGAGCTTGAGACGTGTTTCCCCAATATTACAGTTTTATTTTTAATAATTAAGAAAGATATCAAATACTCATTAAAAGAATTGGCAGATATTGCTGGCAAACAAAAGAAACAAAGAAACTAAGCATACGGGAAGGACAAGGGCTGGGGCTTACCAGGCAGCCAGCAGGAAAATGGGGCTCAACTCAAAACACCTTGTGATACACCAAACCAAAACACCCAGAGTGCACTTCACAGCAACGGAAAAGGGGGGACCACCACCAGGGGATCTGGCTGCCACGCTCCGGGGGGCCCACAGCTCCTGTCCAACACAAAATACAAGATTAACTCAAACCAGCAATAGCCAAATAAAATCACACCCCAAAAATACTAAATCTGCAAAGAAAGCAAAATAACAAATTAAGGAATTAACAGATTTTAATTAATGAAAACATAAACACTGAACTATAACACTAAATAAATGAAAAGAAAGAATGGCGCAGAACTAAAACGGGGCCTGCTGCCACTTAGGCACCCGCTCTGCTTGGAGGCCTAATGCAGCAGAGACAAACAAAAAATGCGCACAGGAAACAAACCAAACCAAACCAAAACAGAACTTAAAGAAACAACTGAAACAGACTTGCACAAACCCACTTAAAAACACAGCGCTTTACAAACAGCGCTTAGAACAGTGCAACCGCGCAATAGGGTTCGGCAACGCTGAATAGCATGTCCGACACCGGAAAACAGCGGTAGAAAACAACGGTACAAAAAAAGCAGCTCCGAAAGGAGTGGCAGCCAGCTCCGAACCGGCTGCCCACCGTGGTTCCGGGCAGCACACCGTGGCTCCTGGCAGCGAGTCGGACTGAGGAACAGTGGGAGCCGTGACACAGGCGGCTTTAAAGCTGCACAGAAAGCCAGGAATTAAAGTGGTAAGTTTTCCTTCAACCTGAGTTTACAGAGCGCAGCAGCAGCACAAAGGAGCGGGCCTACCTCGGGATACGGCGACCACCACAAGCCGGTCCGAGGCGGCAGGCGAGCAGTAACACCAGCACCAACACTGCGACACGCTGCAGACACACTGCATATCAACTAGTTGTATGCACTGGTTGTTAGTGGAGAGAGGAATTGTCACTTACCGTTTTCACAGCAGAGCATCCCACAACCGCCACCAAGCTGGTGCAAAACCGTGAGGTAGCTGCGCGCTAAGCAGACTACACCACCGTAACAACGCTGAGGGGAATCCGAAACAGGTGCGTCAAGCCGGCGCATAAATACGCGCCTCCTTCCGCAGCACCGCCCACCAATCAAATGAGGAGCAGGGCGGGAGAGAGGACAATCAACTCATCCTGCTACATAACAATAGCCAAAGACGAGATCCTCATTTCACATGATGTCATATCACTATTCACAAAACCCCCCGTTGATGTCACATTACACATCGTACAAGA